TAGCTCAAATTGTGCTCTAAATGCTTCCCACAATGCTTTCCCATCGAATTCTTGTGGCTTCCTTCGCACTGGATCACTCCTATTACTGACATTCATATCTGGGATGTGACTTCTAACAGGGCTGAAGATGTCTGCATTAGGGTTTAGTTGCAGGGTCTGAAAAAGGCTTGCCATTGTCTGGGACTGATTAAGTCGATGGTTAATGTATCCTCCTTGTGTAAAAGACAATAAATCGTCCTTTAACATATCTAATTCGCTTTTAAATTTACTAATGTTTTCCGTTTGTACTTCTTGTTTCCTTTCTTGTTCCAGTTGCCACTGCTGTAATTTCTCTTCTTGTTTATTTTCCTTCTCCTACAACAACTGCTGTAGTCTCTCTTCTTTATTTTGCTGTTCGAGCTGCCATTGTTGTAGGTTTTCTTGCCACTGCTGTAATCTTTCTTCTTGTTTCTTTTCTTTTTCCTCTAACAACTGTTGTAATCTCTCCTCTTCTTGTTTCTTTTGCGCTCTTGTATTGCTGCCATCAAGTCTGCTATGCTGTAGTTTGATTTGCCGCTTCTCGTTTCCATTTTTTTTTGTCCCACTCTCTGACACCAATTTGTTACGCCTCCAGTCGTTAGTTAATTTTCCGTAACTTCGTTCTGACGAAACGTTAGCGAAACAAGTCCTTTCTTAAATAAAACTGGTTTATTCTTTCCGAATATAACTTTGCGATACACTTAATTTCAACAGTCGCGCTATAACAAACGCTATAACAACGAACTTCTCACGTGCTCAACTTCAACGATACTCCGTTCAAATACACACTCTCTGACTGCAGTTCAACTACTCACTACCTATACACACACCCGTCACGTTGTGACCATCTTATATATACCAGACTACCCCCAATCTAGTAATCTCCCGACAATTCACGAAGGTTCGAGAAGGAGTGGCATGATACTATTAACGTGACCTCGCTGATGCAACATTACTAATCTTTTCCATTTGTGTATGCCGGCTTTCTCTCAACTGTTGGAAACTTTCTTCCTGTTTCTTTTCTCGTTCTTCTTGTTTCATTTCTTGGTCCAGTTGCCACTGGTTTTCTTACCACTGCTGTAGTCTCTCATCTTGTTTATTTTCTTTCTCTTCTAAATACTGCTGTAGTCTCTCTTCTTGTTTATTTTCTTTTTCCTCCAACAACTGCTGTAATCTCTCTTCTTGTTTATTTTCTTTTTCCTCCAACAGCTGCTGTAATCTCTCTTCTTGTTTATTTTCTTTTTCCTCCAACAGCTGCTGTAATCTCTCTTCTTGTTTATTTTCTTTTTCCTCCAACAGCTGCTGTAATCTCTCTTCTTGTTTATTTTCTTTTTCCTCCAACAACTGCTGTAATCTCTCTTCTTGTTTCTTTTCTTTCTCCTCCATCCACTGCTGTAGTCTCTCTTCTTGTTTATTTTCTTTTTCCTCCAACAGCTGCTGTACTTACTCTTCTTGTTTATTTTCTTTTTCTACATGTTTTTTCTTTTTCCTCCAACAACTGCTGTAATCTCTCTTCTTGTTTCTTTTCTTTTTCTACATGTTTTTTCTTTTTCCTCCAACAACTGCT